AGGAGGGCTTTTATGATTGAGAGCGAATACCGGCAACCTCGCCTTACAGGCAGACACAGAGTTGGGGGAATGTTCGAGAACGCCTGAAACATCAGGCTCTGGAGAAGGCCACCTTTTGGACGCTTCAGTACTGAGGGCACCCAGCTGGGAAGAACCCCGCCCTCCACTTTTCAAATTAATCCCAGGCGGGCGCAAGGGCCTCGAGAGGCGGGCACTATGCTGCCATAGACATGCAGAGCTAGATCGTCTACCTCCTCGGAGGCTGACATGTTAGGTCCTGGCTGAAAAGTTGGAAACGGCTGGGGCCAATAACGAGCTAGGCTGGTCCTCCCAAGAAGGTGAGACAGAAAGATCTCCCCTAAAAGCAGTCAAAACAGGGGCGGAGCGAACCCGTGACGCGCCCCTCGGAAGAACTGGCTTTTAGAGAGTCGTCAGCCTCCTTGCCCTCATCCGAGATGGCGGCCTGAGGGCGCTCTCGCCGGTGCTCCTCGGATGCCCGGAGGGGGCGGTGGCCTCGCCTCTGGCTCTGAGGCTGCGGCGCGGGGCGTAGCGAGGGGTTTGGTCGCTGCTCTCCGCGGCGTGGGGTACGCGGGGGCGCGGACCGCCGAGCTCTCCCCGCCTGCGCCGAGTTTCTCAGCGCCTTCCCCACCCGATCCCGGGTCTCGCGGTCGGAAGCGCTCCGGGTGCAGCCCCGCGCGGGGCCGGACGATGCCCAAGAAGCTGCTGCTGCTGCCCCCGCTCTCCGCGTCCTCGGCTTTCCGCGTCCCGCGCGCCCGCTCCGCTCCCCCGCCGGCCATGAACGCCGCTCGCACCGGCTACCGAGTCTTCTCTGCCAACTCCACGGCTGCCTGCACGGAGCTGGCCAAGCGCATCACCGAGTAAGGGGGCGGCGGGAGGGCCGGGCCGGGCAGGGCCTGAGGGACCGCTCCCCTCCACCCGCCCCACCTCCTGCACCTGGGGCGGGAGGCGCGGGCCTGACCTTTCCCAGCCGGACAAACCTTGGACGTGACAGAAATCACCCCCTGTTCCCCAGTTTTGCAGCTGGGAGGCTTGGGGCGGACTCTGGGTGACCTCAGCCCCCCGCCCCGTGACTGGGTCCGCGGCCTGCCTGCCTTTCGTCTCCCAACTCCCACACCCCGGGGCGGACCGAGTTTTCTGGAGCTCGGGGAGAGGGGCTCTGGGTTTGGCTGCCTTCCCCACAGATGGAGTTGGCCTCGGAATCTGACCCTCGCCACTCCCAAGTCTCCCTGCAGTGAGATCCGCGGGCGTGGTTGTGACTTGGGGGACCCGACGCGGGGGGTGCGGCCGCAGGGCAAAGGTGTGGGGACTGGCAGTGAGAAGAAGCCAACTCCAGGGAGGCAGATGGGCCGGAGCTGGTGGTAGAAATGACAGGCCTGACCCTGCTTTGTAAATGAGCTTGGGTTGGAATCAGTCCTGTGTGTCTTTAACCCCAAGGCCACTTACTAGCTCTGTGTCTCGGGCAAGAAACTTGGATTTCCCTGAGCCTCATTTGTGAAATGGGCATGATTCTGTCTCTTGGCCAAGGATACTGTGAGCATGACCGGGATAATGTAGTAGTAGTATCTGAGTCTAGCAGAGCAGGGGCTCATAGTGGCCCTCTGAAGACCAGTTTACTCAATGGCCTCTTTTCTAAGTTGGCTCTTTTGGAGAATTCCAGAGCTCTGATATAAAGGAGGAGCCTTGGCCGGGCGCGGTGGCTCCCTGTCTCTACTAAAAATAAAAAATAAAAAAAAAAAAAGGAGCCTTATGGGCTCTTTCCACATAAACTTGTTAGAAATCTAAGACTTAAGGCCAGGCTCGGTGGCTCACGCCAGTAATCCCAACACTTCGGGAGGCTGAAGCGGGCGGATCACGAGGTCAGGAGATTAAGACCATCCTAGCTAACACGGTGAAACCCTTCCTCTATTATAAAAAAAATAAAAAAGAAAGAAATACAAGACGTAAAACGAATAGGTCATCTTTAATATTTTAAGTCATTTTTGCATTTTAAGTAGTTTTCATTAGAGTTACTTGGCTAATTTTTTAGGGTTGATAATTGCAGGGGTATATTTTAAACTTCTGGGTGGAAACGTAGGAGAAAGGGAAAACTTTAGTTATATTTTTTCAGCTCTGCCTGTTTTTTTTTTAATAGTTGAAGTTTTGGAGGTTGGAAGAATGTTAAAATAAAACAATCCTTTTGCAATCTACTACCTAGTTTCTATTTCTAACCTCTGATTATTTGTCTTTCTTTTTGAGGCCAACGAAAACACTGACTTTAAATGAAGCTTGTGTGTGTGTCTCGTGGTTCAGATTTACCCCACCTGACCTTGTTGAGGAAGAGCAGAGGGGAACAGGGCACATTTAAGCTAGTGAGGTTTTTTTTTTGTTTTGTTTTAGATTCTTCCCTGCCAAATTCCAGAAAGCTTTTGAATTACTATAAATGATACATATTCATAAATACTTCCCTTATCTATTTTATTTGTCCCTCAGTAAGATTTTATCATATCTATTTTATTTATTTTGAGACAGAGAGTTGCTGTGTCGCCCAGCCTGGAATGCAATGGTACCATTTCGGCTCACTGCAACCTCCACCTCTCAAGTTGAAGAGATTCTCCTGCCTCAGCCTCCCAAGTAGCTGAGATTACAGGTGCCCACCACCACACCTGGCTTTTTTTTTTTTTTTTTTTTTTTTTTTTTTTTTTTTTTGAGACAGAGTCTGGCCCTGTCACCCAGGCTGGAGTGCAATGGTGTGATTTCAGCTCACTGCAGCCTCTGCCTCCCGGGTTCAAGTGATTCTTTTGCCTCAGCCTCCCGAATAGCTGGAATTACAGGCACGAGCTACATGCCCGGCTAATTTTTTGTATCTTTAGTAGAGATGGGGTTTCATCATGTTGACCAGGCTGGTTTTGAACTCTTGACCTTGTGATTTGTCCACAGCAGCCTCCCAAAGTGCCGGGATTACAGGCATGAGCCACCACCCCCAGCCACTTTTGTATTTTTAGTAAAGACGGGTTTTACCATTTTGGCCAGGCTGATCTCGCTCCTTACCTCAGGTGATCTGCCCGCCTCAGCCTCCCAGAGTGCTAGGATTGATTATAGGTGTAAGCCACCTCGTCCAGCCTAGATTTTATTTTAAAAGAGGATTATTTGCCACTGAACAAAGTTTGATCAGTAGATTATTTAACCCCTGAGGTTGTGATATTTTATCTCCATGATTCAGACTTTCTAAACTTCAAGCAAGGATCTTCAAACTTTCTAGATTATGCACATTAATCAATAAAATAGATACATTACCTTCCCAGGATATGTGAAAGTTGCATGTTTTGTTACCCACCCCACCACCCAGTATCTTTCATCCAGCTCCACACTTAGCAACTTTTTGCTAATCTTGTTTCATCTATTGTGCATTTTGGGGGGCAGTGCTGGAGTATTTTTTAAAATTGTTACATACATTGGCTGGATGCCCTGGCTCATGCCTGTAATCCCAGCACTTTGGGAGGCGGAGGCCAGCAGGTTGGGAGTTTGAGTCCAGCCTGATCAACATGGAGAAACCCCATCTCTACTGAAAATACAAAAAATTAGCCAGGTGTGGTGACAAGCACCTCTAATCCCAGCTACTCAGGAGGCCGAGGCAGGAGAATCACTTGAACCTGGGAGGTGAGGGCTGAGATGGTGCCATTATAATCCAGCCTGGGCAACAAGAGGGAAACTCCATCTCAAAAAAAAAAAAAAAGTTTACCTTTTTAGCCATTTTTAGGTGTACACTTCAGTGGCACTAACTGCAGTCACAGTGTTGCGCAGCCATCACCACTATCCATTTCCAGAACTTTCCATCATCCCAAACAGAAACTCTACTCATTAAATATTTACTCCGCATTCTCCCTCCCCTCATTCCCTGGTAGCTTCCATTCTACTTTGTCTCTGTGAATTCGCCTTTTCTTGGGACTTGATACAAATGGAATAATACAGTCTGTTTGTGTCTGACTTATTTTATTCAGCATAGCTTTTTCAAGGTTCATTCATGTCATAGCACAAACTAGAATTTCATTCTTTTTTTTTTTTGAGATGGAGTTTCGCTCATTACCCAGGCTGGAGTGCAATGGTGCAAACTTGGCTCACCACAACCTCTGCCTCCCAGTTTCAAGCAGTTCTCCTGCCTCAGCCTCCCAAGTAGCTGGGACTACAGGCACGCACCACCAGCTAATTTTGTATTTTTAGTAGAGATAGGGTTTCTCCATGTTGGAAAGGCTGGTCTTGAACTCCCCACCTCAGGTGATCCATTTGCCTCAGCCTCCCAGAGTGCTGGGATTACAGGTGTGAGCCACTGCACTCAGCTGGGAGTATTTTTAGATTCCCTTACATCATATCATTTCACTTGTAAAAACAGTAATGCTTACTAATCAGGACTCAAAACCTCATACTACTATTAATGCCTTAATATTATGTAGTAGCTAGTCTTTGTCCATATTTCTCTGATTATTTTATTTTTATTTATTTTTTGCCATTAAAAAAATTTTTTTAATGGCTTTTTACACTCGGATTATTCTAATCAGGATCCATACCACATTTGGTTAATGGTGCTGAAGTCTCTTTCCTTCTCTGTGCTTTTGATAATTGAGATATTTATTCCTGGCATGTGTTATTGAAATCATTGCTAGTAACCAAGTATTTGGAAGTGATTTTTCCAAGATAATTACTCTTCAAAGAACAGTGCGGCAGACATTAGCTCTGTCTGGTAAAGCAGTGTGTTACAACGTGATGAGCTGCTTCTGGAGTGACTACAGAATTTTAGTTTAATGAGTTAGATTTTCTAAATTATTTTTTGGAAAGAGTACCAGCTTAGTTATTTGAGTCTTTTTATTAGACGTATGCATATGAATTGGAATTTTAAAAAAAAGAAATCCTAGTTCCCTTTTTTGTTTTTTTGGTCTGTAGGCGCCTTGGTGCTGAATTGGGGAAGTCTGTTGTATACCAAGAGACCAATGGAGGTGAGTAAAAATTATTTCTTTTTGTTAAAAATTATTCTTTCTTTCTTTCTTTTTTTTTTTGGTCCATAGTCACCCGATTTCCACCAATCTTTATTTTTTTTTTGAGTCAGAGCCTCACTTGTCACCCAGGCTGAAGTACAGTGGCATGATCTTGGCTCACTGCATCTTCTGCCTCCCAGGTTCAAGCAATTCTCCTGCCTCAGCCTCCTGAGTAGCTGGGATTACAGGCGCTTGCCACCACACCTGGCTCATTTTTATATTTTTAGTAGAGACAGAGTTTCACCATGTTGGCCAGGCTGGTCTTGAACTCCTGACATCAGGTGATCATTTGGCCTCTCAAAGTGCTGGGATTATAGGTTTGAGCCACTGTGCCTGGCCTTAATTTTTTTTTTTTTTTAAGTTAAGATGGGGTCTCGCTCTGTTGGCCAGGCTGGTCTTGAATTCCTGAGCTCAAGCAATCTTCCCAGCTCAGCTTCCCAAAGTGCTGGGATTGCCGGCGTGAGCCACCGCACCTGGCTTCCACCAGGGTATTTCTAGAATGCAAATATTTTTTCTTACTACTGCTTCCTTACTCTTACCCTCTAGGCTGGAGTTCGGTCTTTTTAGCAATCCCATGGGGCCCTTTGGGACCCCGACCCTGGCCCTTCACCTGCCTTGCCTTTGATTCATCCCTCACCACCCCTCTGTGCTCTGAGTTTGGACTACGTCTGTAATCCGATGCCTTCTCACAGCCTCTGCTGCTCACACTCCAGTCCAGCCCATTTACTGCTTGCTGGACACCTTCAAAAGTAGCTGCCATGGCCTCCCTGTGGCTACTCCTGCCCTGCCACAGTTTTCTTTATGCTGTAGCTTGCAGTCTTTTTAAAACAAGCAGATGAAATCCTTCCCAACCTCAGATCTTCCAGTGGCTTTCCTGTCACTGCTAGAATAAATTCCAGACCCCTTAGCGAATAAGAAGTGAAATCCAGAGTCCTGCATGTTCTGGCTGGTTGGCTCCCTGATCTCCTGCCTCTCTCTGTCCCCTCAGTCACTCTGCTTTCTAAGTGGACTAACTGCCTGCCCCTCTGCTTGGCACGCTCAGATCCCACATCTCCCGTGTTCCCAAACTCCCCTCTGCACTGCCTGTTCTGGATTGCAGTGAGGCCCCTTGTTCCCAGCCCCATTGTTCTTACTCGCGCCTCACAGCCTGGAGGGTTTGCTGGCCTTGATGTCATATCATCTCTCCTGGGTCAGTCTTTGTCCCCTTCGTCCAAATCCTGCATTTTGGTGTTCCCAGTACAAGGCCTGGCACGGAGGAGGTCTCAGCATCTGTTGAAAAAATAACAAGGATGTGAAGCTTTGGCCTCTTTGTTTACCATACTCTCTCCTCCAGGCATCTTGTTTATGTCTTTATTTTGGTAGCAGATTGTTGTTTCATTGTTGTTTTTGACCCTCAGACTTTGCTGACTGGTTGATTAGTTTTGTCTTCTATTCTGGGAGGCTGATTTCCCCTCAGTTTGACTTTTTGTTGTTGTTGTTGAGACATTCTCGCTGTCACCCAGCCTGGAGTGCAGTGGCGCGATCTCGGCTCACTGCAAGTTCTGCCTCCTGGGTTCAAGCGATTCTCCTGCCTCAGCCTCCCGAGTAGCTGGGACTACAGGCCTGTACCACCATGCCTGGCTGGTTTTTTATATTTTAGTAGAGATGGGATTTCACCATGTTGGCCAGGCTGGTTTTGAACTTCTGACCTCGGGTGGCCTACCCACCTCACCCTCCCAAAGTGCTGGGATTATAGGCATGAGCCACCACACCCAGCCCAATAATTTTCAAACTCCCGTTTTCTTTTCCTTTCTTTTTTTTTGAGACAGAGTTTCGCTCTTGTTGCCCAGGCTGGAGTGCAATGGTGCTATCTCGGCTTACCACAACCTCTCCCTCCCGGGTTCAAGCGATTCTCTTGCTTCAGCCTTCCAAGTAGCTGGGATTACAGGTATGCACCACCATGCCTGGCTAATTTAGTATTTTTAGTAGAAATGGGGTTTCTCCACATTGGTCAGGCTGGTCTTGAACTCCCCACCTCAGGTGATCCACCTGCCTCGGCCTCCCAAAGTGCTGGGATTACAGGCGTGAGCCACCCTGCCTGGCCTCAAACTCCCTTTTTTCAATGGACTACCAAAAATCAGCCACTGTAAAACCCAGTGAACATGTAGCATTTTGTTTAACAACTACTTTTCATGAGCTGACCCTGACTTTCAGGAAGTGAAATGAAAATGGCAGAATTTATCTGAAGGTCCACAGTCTGGAAACGGAACCACTGCTCTTTTGAGGAGCACCATTCAGTGGCATTGAAATGTCCAGATTGCCTGACACACTGGTAATCACTTATGGGGGTCAGGTCCCAACAGATGTCTGGGTTTAAGAGATTTAAGTCTATGCTGAAAGGTGGAATAGAAGAAGAGGACATAGAAAGGAATTTGTCTTTACATAGAGCAAGGCTTTTGTGTCCAAGTCAGGGAACCCCTTCCTGGGAGCCAAGAGAAAGTCTCTCAAAATAGAAGGAAGGCTGGACCTAGTGGCTCACACCTGTAATTCCAGCACTTTGGGAGGCCAAGGCGGGTGGATCAGTTGAGGTCAGGAGTTCGAGACAAGCCTGACAAACATGGTGAAACCTCGTCTCTACTAAAAACAGAAAAATTAGCCCGGCCTGGTGGCGTGCCTCTGTAATCCCAGCTACTCGGGAGGCTGGGGCAGGAGAATCGCTTGAACCCAGGAGGTGGAAGGTTGTAGTGAGCTGAGATCCTGCCACTGCACTCTTGTCTGGGCAACAGAGTGAGACTCTGTCTCAAAAAAAAAATAGCCCCCTCTTCCTTTCTCCGCCATCATGGTGTGTGCTTGACTCCGCTTCTCACCATGTCTTCTGACAAAACTTTCAGGATTAAGCAATTCCTGGCCAAGAAACAAAAGCAAAATTGTCTTATTCCTCAGTGGATTCGGATGAAAACTGGTAATAAAATCAGGTACAACTCCAAAAGGAGACATTGGAGAAGAACCAAGCTGGGTCTGTAAGGAATTGCACGTTGAGATGGCACACATATTTATGCTATCTGAAGGTCCCAGTTACATGACCGTATCAAGCTGAAAACCTCACCACTATCTGGATAATTTGACAATGTTACCTCTCTGGATCTGTTATGAACGTCTTGGTTGGCTAGGTTCAGTAATAAATATGTGAGACCCTTCATTTTAAAAAAGCAAAAACTAGAAGGGAAAGGTATATTCCCCTCATTGGTCCCTCTTTGGAGACATTCTATTTGTGACATGTGCCCCTTCCCCCAAAAGTGTTCTGTGTGCTAACAAGACAGCTTAAAAACAAAAGTAAAACAAAATTCTGCATTTTATAAAATTTGATAAAATAGTATTTCAGACTACAGTCACTGGAAGTGCACAGTTAACCAAAATGCACACATTTCCCTTGGCATCTCCAGCAGGTGCCTGGTCTTTTCCAGCATCTTCACTGTCTGAAGGGTCAGTCCCCTCCTTGTCAGCATCAGCTTTTTCCTTTTTTCCTTTGGGTACCTTCTCTCCCTTCTTTGCAGTGGTCTTTTTAGGCTTGGGCTCTGAATTGGAGAAGCAGATTTAGCAGGCGGCCTCTCGGATCTTCTCCTTCACCTTGTCCTCATCTCCCTTAGCATCCCCTTCAGCCTTTCTCTTGGGGATGGTGGCAGCAATGGTGGCCGGATGTAGGCATTGGGAGCGGGATGCTGTGGCAGTGCACAGGCTGCTGTCGGTCCAGGGGTCGTTCTTGCCCCCTCTTTTTTATACTTCTCCAAGATTTATTCCTTTGCACGAGTTGAAATGTTGCTTTAGATTAATCTTTACCTCCTCCAAAGTTATCTAACTCTTGCATCATGAGGGCTTTTCTTTTCTGTTTTTTTTTTTTTTTTTTCTTCCTGACAAGGTCTCTGTCACCCAGGCTGGAGTGCAGTGGTGCAGTTTGAGCTCACACTGTAGCCTGGACCTTCTCTGGCTCAGTTGATCCTCCCACCTCAGCCTCCTGAGTAGCTGGAACTACAGGCACATGCCATAGCACCTGGCTAATTCTTGTATTTTTGTAGAGACAGGATTTTGTCATGTTGCCTAGGCTGTTCTTAAACTCTGTGCTCAGATGACCCTGCTTACTGCATCCCCGCCAGAAGTGGTGGGATTACAGGCCTGCGCCACTGTGCCTGGCATCAAGAGCTTTTCTTTTTCTTTTTTTCTCTCCTTTTTACACATAGGAACTGTTCTTAAAACATTACAACATTTTTATTTTTCAGAAACAAGAGTTGAAATAAAAGAATCTGTTCGTGGCCAAGATATTTTCATTATACAGACAATACCCAGGTAAGAGGACTAGTTTATCTCTTTTCTTGTAAAAACCTTAACGATATAATTAATTGAGTTTTCATCTGAACAACAATTTACTGTTTTTAAAAGTTATACATTTGTTTGTATGTTAAACTAAATGCTTCCCCAAATACAATTACAGTCTTCTGGAATTCCTCCCATTTGTCACACTGTACTGTTATCTGCTTACTTCTCCCCAAGCTTCTTTTTTTTTTTGAGACGGAGTTTCGCTCTTGTTGCCTAGGCTGAAGTGCAATGGCATGATTATCTTGGCTCACTGCAACCTCCACCTCCCAGGTTCAAGCGATTCTCTTGCCTCAGCCACCCGAGTAGCTGGGACCACAGATGTGTGCTACCATGCCCGGCTATATTTTTAGTAGAGACAGGGTTTCTCCATGTTGGTCAGGCTGGTTTGAACTGCCGACCTCAGGTGATCCGCCCGCCTCCGCCTCCCAAAGTGCTGGGATTACAGGTGTGAGCCACCGCACCTGGCTTTTATTTTTGTTGTTGCTCCGGCTGCAGTGCAGTGGCACAGTCTTGGCTCACTGCAGCCTCCACCTCCTGGGTTCAAGGGATTCTCTCGCCTCAGCCTCCTGAGTAGGTGGGATTACTGGTGCCCACCACCACACCTGGCTAATTTTTGTATTTTTAGTGGAGACAGGGTTTCACCATGTTGGTCAGGCTGGTCTTAAACTCCTGACCTCAAGTAATCCGCCCATCTCAGCCTCACAAAGTGCTGGGATTACAGGCGTGAGCCACCACTCCCCAAGCTTTAAACTCCTCAAGGACAAAGGGTCTTCCCATGGTTTGCACTGACCCTAGGCCAGTGTCTATCAGCTCAGCTCTGGAGAAAAGCTTCTAATTGTTAAGTGTGGTACATAACTGCTCCTGGTTCATAACCACCAAGACAGGTTTTTGCGCTGTATTTTATCTTGCACTGTGGCCTGTTTCTAGCCTATCTCTATTTCAAAGAGCATTACCCTTGCCTTCCCTGAGGGCAGGGGGAATGCCTGCTTGAGTGGGAGCGTCCATGCTTCCATGTGGGACTATATGCTTTCTCATCGGCTCACAGGGAGTGGGCAATTATACCATCTGTGTCTCTGAAAAATCCAGACTTTCATGTCCTGATCAGTTTACATTCCCCAGACCATATTAGTAATAAGAACGGCACTCAGTGCCACCAGTGTGCCAGATGCTTTATATGTTTCATTTTTGTTTGTATTGCTTTTTTGAGGCAGAGTCTCACTCTGTTGTCCAAGCTGAAGTGCAGTGGTGTGATCTCAGCTTACTGTAACTTTCACTTCCTAGGTTCGAGTGATTCTACCTCAGCCTCCCAAGTATCTGGGATTACAGGCACCTGCCACCATGGCTGGGTAATTTTTTTTGTATTTTTAGTAAAGATGGGGTTTCACTATATTGGCCAGGCTGGTCTCGAACTCTTGGCCTCAAGTGATCTGCCCACCTGGGCCTCCCAAAGTGCTAGGATTATAGGCATGAGCCACTGCACCCAGCCCTATTCAGTCTTCTTTAGTTTGGAGCAGTTCCTCAGTCTTTCCATGACTTTTTTTTTTTTTTTTTTTTTAGACAGGGTCTTGCTCTGTCACTTATGCAAGCATGCCCCATGGCACAGTCATGGCTCACTGCAGCCTTAACCTCCAGAACTCAATCGATCCTCCCACCTCAGCCTCCTTACTAGCTGGGACCACAGGCGTGTGCCATGACCTCAGGCTAATTTTTTTTGTAATTTTAGTAGAGAACAAGGTTTTACCATGTTGCCCAGCTGGTTTCAAACTCCTGGACTCAAGTGATCTACCCGCTTCAGCCTCCCAAAATGCTGGGATTACAGATATGAGCCACCGTACCTGGCCTTGACTTTCAAAACTTTGACACATTTGAAGACTGTGACATTTTACCAGTTACTTTGTTGAATGTCTCTCAATTTGGGTTTCACCATGATGAGCTCTTTCACTGTGATGAGATTCAGGTGCCCCCGGAAGGAAGCTGTGTTCACACTGTCTTGTCTTCCTGCTGCTTCATGGTGTCATGTGGATGCACCGGTTTACTCAGTCTCTCCTGGGCCAGTTTGTTTCTAGTCTTGTGCTGACATGATAGAGCTGCTGTGAGCCTCCTTGTATGTACGTCATATTATCTGTGTTTCAGATGTATCTGTAGGAAGATCCTAGGAAATTTCTGGTTGTGAGGGTCCACACCCCGTGGTATTGAGGGAAGTGGCTGCATTGCCCTCATTGAGGATACACTAATTCACATTTTCTCCAGCGGTTTTGGTTTCGTGTTGTTTGCCTCCTGGTGACTGGAGTCTTTTTTGCCCAGTGGTTTTGTCTGACTCCGTGTCTTATAAATAAGGGGAAGACCTGAAGGGCTTGCCGAAAGGTACAGTGACTGTCGGAAGGGAGCTTTGGCACACCTTGACACACCACATAGCTGTTCCCTGGCCATTTGTGCTTGTCCTGGTTTTTGTTGGTTGTGAATAGTAAGGTTACCTTGTTATTGCTATTTTTTCTGCATTCTTGAGTTCCTTAGGGCATAGGAAAGAGCCATATGTGACCCTTGGTCCTTGGTTTGGGTGGCTTAGACTACTGAGAGCTCTCAACTAGTTGATGGAAGGGTGCACAGTAATGCAGTCATGGCCTTTGTAGCTACAGGTTGGCCAGCTTTGTCACTAATCCTCCAAGAAATATTGGGATCTAATTCTGAAAGCAGTATTGATTGGTGAAGTCTCTTTACTACCTTAATTGAATTTGTGATCATGAAAGGATTTGTCACATACAGAGTTATTTTTTTAAATTAATTTAATTTATTTGTTTATGTATTTATTTTGAGTCGGAATTTTCTTCTTGTTGCCCAGGCTGGAGTGCAATGGCGTGATTTGGGCTCACTGCAATCTCCGCCTCGCGGGTTCAAGCAATTCTTCTGCCTTAGCCTCTCAAGTAGCTGGGATTAGAGACATGTACCACCAAGCCCCGATAATTTTGTATTTTTAGTAGAAATGTGGTTTCTCCATGTTGGTCAGGCTGATGTTGAACTCCCGACCTCAGGTGACCGGCCTACCTCAGCCTCCCAAAATGCTGGGATTACAGGCATGAGCCACTTTGCCCAGCCCTAAAGAGTTACCTTTAAGAAATCTTGGGCGGGGCACAGTGTCTCACACCTGTAATCCCAGCACTTTGGGAGGCCAAGGCGGGTGGATCACCTGAGGTCAGGTGTTCAAGACCTACCTAGCCAACATGGTGAAACCCCATCTCTACTAAAAATACAAAAATTAGCCGGATGTGGTGGCGCATGCATGTAGTCCCAGCTACTCGGGAGGCTGAGGCAGGAGAATCGCTTAAACCTGAGAGACAGAAGTTGTAGGAAGCTGAGACCGCGCCATTGCACTCTAGCCTGGGTGACAAGAGCAAAACTGTCTCAAAATAAATAAATAAATAATAAAATACAATAATAAAAATTTTTAAAAAGAGACAGGGTCTTATTATATTGCCTAGGCTGATCTGGAACTCCTAACCTCTGGTGATCTGCCCACCTTGGCCTCCCAAAGTGCTGGGATTACAGGCATGAGCCACTGTGCCCCACCAACTTCTACTTTTTTGCATGTGTGTTTGTGTATGTAAGATAGAAGGGCAGCTATCACCATACTTTCCATTGGTTATAACATATCTCCCTGCATATTCCCATTAGAACGTAAGCTCCCTGAGGGTAGAGAGTTTTCTTTGCTCACTGCTGTGTCTCCAGCAGCCAAAACAGTGCCGCCCTGTTGTAGGCACTAGAATTTTTGCTTAATGAACAAATAGACTTTGACCTTCTATGTTGTTAGTATGTACTAGTATTTCAAATATTTGTGGAGCGA